ATACATACAAGAATACTTATCGCTGTGTGTGTGTGTGTGTGTGTGTGTGTGTGTGTGTGTGTGTATAGAGAGGCAAATAATTAAAACACAGTCTTTGAGCAAATACAAAATCCAATCTTTTTCCCTAACATATCCTGTCTCATGGAAAAGCCTACAGAAGGTTTAAATANAGCTCTAAGTTCTATGATTCTGTGACTTTCTAAACTAAATATAACTATATTGTCCTAATTCCTCTCTATGCTTTCATATTAAAATAGGTATCTATTCTCAACTAGCTGAACTAATAGAATATAATATATATTTTATTTAAATAAACATATATGTGCATATATAAACTTTTTATGTATTTACATATTCAGCATCAACTGAGTTTTTTTCTTTCCTACTGATAAGAAAACACACACTATGCTCCCAAGAGCAATTCATGCCTGTTAACGTATTTTTAACCAGCTAGCAATTAGGGACACTTAGGAAGTTACAGCTACCTACCCACAACCCAGATCAAAGATTTCTCAAAAAAAAAGAGCCCTCAATAGTTGGAGGAAAGATGACAAGACCTCTCAGATTCCTTTATAATCAAGAGCAGAAGGCAAAATTTTGAGTTTAAAATGACGATGAATATACCTGACTAGAAAAGCCAACTCAATCAGGAAGCATCAGAGACCACCTTCAAATGCCTGGTCATCAAAATTTACTAAAACATTCTATCTCTCAACATCACCAACAGGCAATAATGGTACTATAAATATTCTGTTTGCCGAATTTAAAACTGTAAGGCTTCACTTTCCTTTATGTCGCTGAAAATGAAGGTGAAAGAGATATGAGGGGAAAAGTAATCTAATGTTTTTAAATTCAATGCATTTAATATTCTATTAAATATACATACAAGAATACTAATCGCTGTGTGAAGGTGAAAGAGATATGAGGGGAAAAGTAATCTAATGTTTTTAAATTCAATGCATTTAATATCCTATTAAATATACATACAAGAATACTTATCGCTGTGTGTGTGTGTGTGTGTGTGTGTGTGTGTGTGTGTGTGTATAGAGAGGCAAATAATTAAAACACAGTCTTTGAGCAAATACAAAATCCAATCTTTTTCCCTAACATATCCTGTCTCATGGAAAAGCCTACAGAAGGTTTAAATAACTAAAGTTCTGGAAAAATAAAAATAAAACAAATAAATATTATTCCTGAAGTTTCATTTATCTGTAATTGCATACTTGCATAGTTTCAACTGAGGACCAGGACCAAGTCCCAAAACTTCTTGAACTCTTCCCTAATGATTTGAGTACAAAAGCTCTATAGTACACATAATTGTTTGTTATGTGAAAACTGTAAATGAACAGCCATGTGTGAATAACCCAGTTATTGCCTTAGGATGGACAAACCAGTACTGCTCTTGTAAGGATGCTAATCCAGGCTGCTACTCCTCTGCCATTTTCCTTTTTCTGAACACCTCTTCAGCCTCTCTACAGCTTAAGGACCCTCTGTCACAGAAAGAGCAGTGGTTCTTTCTATTGGAAACACTTGAACGGCACTCTAAAGAGAAAGCAATTTATGTCAGGAGCAGCAGTAACTTGAACCTCACTCTTTTGCAGATTACAGACTCATAAATTAGAGCTGAGATTTCATGTCTGTATTCTCAAGTATACCATGGTCTACTCTTGATAATGAATCTCAAATTTCCCAGCTTTGTTGAAAATCAGCCCATTCCAGAATATGAAAGTATTCTTCATATTTCCCAGAATCAAATTCAAAATAATTTTTTTTCAAATATGCACAATGTGCACTATAAATATTATGCATTAAACTACTATTAAAGGCAATTTGGGTATGTCAAAGCACCCAAGAAGCACATATCTGAGTTCTTATGATATTACATAGCTACCTCAACTATCTGAACTTTAGTCAAGACCCAGAAAATAAGCAAAAATGAACCCTTGAAAAGCCAAAATACTTATAGATGGATGACACATGGACCATGCACTAAAAGTTCATATACTTTACTCATAGAAGGACACCTCAAGGTGTCCTTCTTATTTTAAACACAGTTCTAAGTGTGGTTATCCACTTTCCCAAGCTATGACCATCCATCAGAAGCAGCAGAACAGAATAGAGAACAACAACGAGAAAATGAATTAAAGTCAGGCCTGATGAGGGCAGCAAGAAGTGCAGCAGAGAGCATTGCCATCCTAGGAGTGACTGGAAATCTGGTTTTAGTAAAGGAGATACTGGAAAAAAAAGAATACCCATCTGGGCCATTTAATGTAGGAACTGACAGTTCTACCCCCAACCATCAGAGGTAAGTGGCTAAAACTGGAGAAGTTTTAGAGTCCATGGTCATAAACTTCAGTCTGGAACACTTACTCCCACCAAGCATACACTAGCTCAATGGTGCTACACAAGGAAAACATTATCATTACGTTTAAAGCTTTGGCAAAGTTTGGCTTCACACTCTTATTTCTGACCAGCAGAGCTTGACTAAGATCTCTACACCAATGCCTCCAGAATAGTCTATCATGACTGTGAGTAAATACATAGTTCTACACATTTTGTATTTGTAATGTATTCATTTATTCATGTACTTATGAACACTTGTGTGTATTCATGTACTGTATTCCTCTGACACCTGTGAAAAGTCGTTACCTGATGAAGAGGAATAACCCACCGTAGCTTTTCACTTCCCCATGTTTTGCTCTAAATTATTTCTGCTGAAATGATAAATTCATCACTAATTCAATGATCATATTTTTCTATTATAGCTTCTGGAAAGTTGCAATGAACCAGAACATATAAACATTTAATTGATTTCAACTGGGTCTAAAGGACAGAATCATAATCAGTTGAAAGAGATTCTTGGTTTACTTCATGGCAGCCACTAGCTTATGTGACAGACTGCTAGATGCATTTGACCATATTTGGAATAAACAGGATCAACTGGATATTTGGTACTGGTCAGATACAATATTAAAGTTATTAAAATGTATATAATTATACATACACACATATATACAATGCTGATAGATAGACAATCTCCTTAGGGAAAAATACCTTTCTAAGCCACCTAGGTTTTCCAATAATTCACCTCTCAGATATTTTGAAATTTTCTTAAATAAACTATATTTCCAATATTAAGCTTTCTATGTCATTAAATGAAAATGTACTCTTATGATAAATGCAATATGTTTTAAACATACAAGTGTGGTACAATAAATTGATTCTATTTTTCAAAAGTCCTTAAATTGATGTTCTATCAAAGTATATTTAAGGATTCCAAATTACTACACTGAAGCTTGAAGAACAAAAACCATTACCTAGTTCTTTAACCATCTATGTGTCAATTCACACAATAGAAAATACAAGTATATCCAGAGGACCTCAATTAAAATCAGTTCTGGTATTCCATAACTGTGATGTTAACATTTTTCTCCCAAGAGACAATTTCTATTGTCCAAATTCATTGGTAAATTATATTCTTTTTCTAAGCAAAATAAAAGATTTATGAGAGCGATTATTCATGCTATAGTACACTACTATTTAATTCACAGACAACCCTGTTTCAGAGAAATCCTGCTGGGTTCTTCCACACACAGGTTATCTTACCCTTCGTAGACGAGGCAACTTTGTGTTATCAGCATTTTTCATTTCCTCATTAACCATCTCAACAGAGAATAAGGAGCAGTCTTAAAACTCAGGGTAAAACCTATAAAGCAGGAGATCTGAAATGCAGTGTTCTCTTGTGGGAAATACTCATTAGCATTACAGGCGGTGCATGATTCACACGCACCACCACCATCCACTGTATATGGGTTTGAGATCCATGCACTTTTATTTTTTCATCTGGATGTGACGTCTTTAAAAAAGTAAAGCAGTCTTTAACCTATTCATATGCCAGAGGTTCCCTCAAATTTAACCTAACAACTCTACCCACCAAAAATGTGAATTTTCAATCCACACCCCTAAGTAGTGCATTATTTGACAGCCTTGGCCTAAAGTTGAGGGGAGCGAAGTTTTATGGTATCAGCTGGAGTCAATCCTTCCCAGTTCTGGAGTTCAGCAAAGGAAGGAGAGAAGTTAACTTTCTTCTTCCCAGGAAGCTTGGGTGTTTCAGACCTTCACTCACACCAACCCATCTTAGGCAGCAGTCATGCATTTAAGGCAGTGGTTTTCACCTGATCTGCTCATTAGAATCATCTGAGGAGCTCTTTTTCAAAATTATCCAGGCCCAGTGCCAGATCAATTCAATTTGCATCTCTGAGTGTGAGTCTCACCCACTGGTATTTTTTGAAAGCTACCACAGTGATTTTAATCTTCAGCCAGATCGAAAACTACCGCTCTATGGCAGTGGTTTTGGAGCAGGAGCAATTTTGCCTATACCCCACCTCTCACCCCAGAGCATTTTTCCAGTGTCTGGAGACATTTTTGATTGTCATAACTAGGGGAATGCTCATGGATAGAGCCAAGTGATGCTCCATAACTAGGAGAATGCTCATGGATAGAGCCAAGTGATGCTCCTAAACCTCCTAAAACACACAAGATAAGACCTCCCAACAAAGATTTATCCTGCCCAAATGTCAATAGGGCATTGACTGTACTGTTGGGAAGCCCTGAAACGGGAAGAGTTGTTGAGAAACAGCCTGAGATACCCTCACAAAAGAATAAGAGAAGCAATAAGAAGCTTTAAGGAGGAAGACTTCAACCCTGACACTCCAACCAACAAGGCCAAAGAAGTTCTACATGAACCTTGTCTAACACAAGTAAATAATTCTTCGTATGTGCTCTCATTGGCCAGGGTGATGTTGAATGAGGGCATGCAGCTACTGTTCACTGGATGTGCTCGACGAAGGCAAAGGGAATCAGACCCAGCAGGATAATTAAGCAACTTTTTTTTAGAAGAAGAAGAAGAAGAAAGATAAACAATAAAATAAAGAGAACATTTCTCTACTTATTCCTTCTCATTTGCTGGTAACCAACAATATGTGCCTGTAGAATTAAACTCAAACGATCTTTACTACTTTTTCATCTGGATTCATAATGTCCAATGGGTGAAGTATTTGTAAGGTCCTCTGATCATCAGAATCATCTTTGCCTAGAAGGCCAACGACAAACAGCTATTACTAGAAGAAACTGAATCACCCAAGGCATCTATGACCTAGGCTAAAAGAGTTATCTGTTTAAAAGCAAAGATCTGCCAGCAGATATCTGGAAGCAAAACTCCTTAGTTTCACTGTGGGAAAAAAAAATACTTTCACCTAAGAAAATTCAACCCAACTTTGGATTTCAATGCAATCAGGTAAGTGAAACCCCCATTCTCAATAGTTAAGGCTGTCGGACTGTGTACATTTATAGCTAGAAGTGGCTATGCAATTTCTTAATTTACAAATCTGGACTACAGCAAGCAATTGAATGAATGGTCAAATGCCTTAATATTTAGTTGTGATAAATGTTGAAACTACTTCCTATTTGAAAATGGAATTCTCTATGAACTGGAAAGAAATAGTTGAATGATGACTTCTAATGAAGTAAATGCACTCATGAGGATTTTGTGTAGCTTAGAGATTTTTTGTTTGTTTTGTTTTTCTGTTGTTTTTAATCAGCTAGTAATTTTAAAATGGTTATACAGACTTAGATATTTTTAAAAGAGGAAAAATACCTAAAATTCATCTTTGCATTCCAGTCAGAGATTAAGCCAACTGATTTTAACCAAAAGGAACTCTTTGATGTCACATTCAACTACTATCAACTGAGTTTGTAAATGAAAGCATAAGAAGATTTAGAGATGCCTGGATTTGTCTGTTTGTGTTGCTATAACAGAACTACCTGAGACTGTGTGATTTATAAAGAACAGAGGTTTATTTGGCTTACGATTCTGGAACAGTTGCACCTGGCATGGGCCTCAGGCTGCTTGGCGGCCGGCGAGTATGAGCAGATCACATGGCGAGAGGAAGCAAGAGAGAGAGAGAGAGAAGAGGTGCCAGGGTCTTTTTAAACAACCAGCTCTCGCAGGAACTAATAGAGTGAGAACTCATTCATTAATCCCCCACCTAGGGAGATCATTAATCCATTCATGAGGGATCCGCCCCCATGGCTCAAACAGCTCCCAACACTGCCACATTGGGGATCAGATTTCCACATGAGTTTTAGGGGGACAACACATCCAAATTCTATCAATGCCTAAGTAACAGTCAACTAAAACAGCAATCTTCTTGATTGATGTTCCCTTAATGCACGTATGTGTACATGTGCGTGTCTGTGACTCTGTGTGTGTGTGTGTGTGTGTGTGTGTGTGTATGTGTTTGGAAAGAATGCATATCCTTACAGGTAGGACAATATTCTGCCAAGATATACTTCATCTCTGTTTCAGTCGGCCATAATACAGACACACTTCCCATTTGCTTTTACCTGCTTTTTGTTCAAGCGAAAACATGCAAGTGCTTATCCAAAGCACTCATATCTCATACCAACCCCAAACAGAATACTCTGGAAATGACTCAGCAAGTCTGCAATTTGGGATTAAACTGGTTACTGGTTCCTATCTGTCTATACACCAGTGATCCAAACAAATTGTGTGGAGATTTAAAAATATGAAAAAGCATGTTTTACCATCCATATCAAAAATTAATTTGTAATGGCAGGATAAAAACAAGCTGCCAATGCTCAAGTTTATAGGCTGATGATCCCTAAACATCTCATTGTGCCACTTCATTTTCCAATTAATTACTAAAATAAAAGCACAACGTAAATGCACTGCAAATATACTCTGGTGAGGATATTAACAATCAGTAGAAGATTTGTCACTTAAGAATAATAAAACGAAGCAGACGCAAGGATTGAATTTACAGTGTCATTGTATAAAAATGCATCTGCCACATCAAATTTGTAACTAAATTAAATTGGTCAATTTTAAGAAAGATTTACCTGACCCACTAAGTTTATCTGAATACAGGCAATACAAAGGCATGATACATCATCTTTATCTAGAGATATACTTTACCTTATGCAAGGCATTGTTTAAAAGTTGCACGTAAAAACACTTCTTTATATATATTTTTTTTCATTGATTTTTAACATTTATCTGTACATATATGTGGGGTGCAATGATTCACTGAGGGTAGATAGCACAGTTTTGTTCCCATTAGTCTATTCTTCTTGTAAGTTAAATTGTGCATTGATTACACTAGAGGAGTTCTTTAAAGGAGCCCTTTTTTAAGAGAACTGTTTTGTAAGTGAGCCAAATGCCCGTATTTTCTTTTTAGTTTAAGAAACAAAGTTGCCTTTAGCCCGTATTTTCTTTTTAGTTTAAGAAACAAAGTTGCCTTTAGCCCGTATTTTCTTTTTAGTTTAAGAAACAAAGTTGCCTTTAGCCCGTATTTTCTTTTTAGTTTAAGAAACAAAGTTGCCTTTAAATAGTACACATTAAAAAGTAATCAAAAAATAGAAAAGTCATTACCTGTACCTTCCCATTAGCCCATTCCTCCCTCTAAAGACAAGCTTCATGACCAATGACCTATCTCAGGATAGTAAGACAACCAAAAATTTTTTTTAAATGACTTTCATCTCTTCTGGAGAATTGCTTGGCCAAGGCTGCCCACAGAAATTGTGACAGCATCTCCACTGCTTTTGGAAAGAGTGAGTGATGGTTCAACCATCCTAGTAAAAGCACCAGCAAGGAGGCCTCAACACAACAGGTGAATTGACTTCTCCTGGCCTCTACCTCCCATCATGAATAACTGAGAAGGCAGCTGCTTCCCATCTTTCCCACACTTTCTATTTCCATTTGTGCTTAAAAGAACATTGGAAGCATTAGAAGCCAAGCTTCAGGAGTCAATTTTCAGCACTATGAGAAAAGGATTAGGATGAAATGGAATCCAACAAGTAAATCCCCAAGAACAATATTGAAAATTTACCCCTTCATGTCGCTGCTAAAATTGGCAGCCTCCTCCACCACTGCTCAGAGCTGGCTGCACACAGACACCAGAGAAGCTTTCAAATAAAGCAAATACCTCATATATTTTGAATGGAAAAAAAAAAAGTTTATAAAGCCAATCATTTTAGCTCCAATCAACCGTAGGTAACATAAAAGGATTGTGGGGTTTTTTGTTTTTGCTTTTTTTTAAAGAAATGATTTCTATCTTGAGTTCAAAGTGGTTTCAGAACCAAGACGAAGAAAATTAAGCCTCTTCCTAAAGTTTTAAAAGCTCAGGTTTAGAGCAGCCTCAGCAAACGCAGCAGATGTTATGCTTTGGAAACCAAAGGAGCACTCAAATGCATCTGTACATTTTAAAGTACATTTAAACAACCAGGAAAGATGTGTCTTGTAACGTATTCAGAATATGAGTATGGGAGTTTGGTGAGAGAGTTGCTGGGTTTTGAGTGAGTAGGGAAGAGAATCACTGAATGATGCAAAAAAAAAAGCCACAGATTCGTGTTCTGGCCCCCAACTCGATGAAAAAACTCCTCAAGGTAAAGTAAGGTATATTTATAGGCATTCAGCCAAACCAGCATCAAGCCTTTTTAGGGACACCATATTTCTTTTTTAATGTTATTGTTTTTCATAATAAATATTCATTTCTTCCTGCACATAAGCTATTAACGGGATTCAAAAACCTTTTGGTCACCATTCCACAAGCGAGCCCCAGTAGCAAACAGCACACAACTAGGAAAATGCTCAAATTCAAGGGGAAAGAATCTTAGAATGGTTCTACTTTTATTTCCAGTACCTACAGATTTCACGCTGACAACTCAGGATCCTAAGACACTACTGTTCCTCTCCCTCCCCTAGCCCCTCACCCGCAACCTTCTTCAATCTCACTTGACTGATGACTGTAAACCAAACACAAATCAAATCCAAGGGAAGAAACACACTAGTGATTTCGGGGTAAATGTTTGCTCCTCCCCCCTCCCGCCCACCGCCTGGCTAGCGCCCACATTTTCTAATACTGCTGGAAAGCCCTTAACCGGTCCTAACCCTCTACCGAGTTGCCCCAGCCACAGCAGGTCCCCAGCACGTACTGACCCACCATTCATGCCACTGTAGACATTCCGGTGATGGGGTGACGCGTCCTCCTGCGCCTGCCGTCTGAGGGTGCCCTCCCTGCTGCCTCCGCCGCTGCCTCCGCTGCTGCCGCCTCCAAGTTTGTGGTCTGGGCTGCCCCCGTAATGCTGTTTGAGGTGCTCGGGACTGGTGCCCCTGGCTCTGGGTAGATGCTCCAGGCTCCCGCCGAGGGCGTGTTTCTGAAGGTGCTCCGGGCTCCCACCGCTGTGCCTGGCATGTTCGGGGCTGCCCCCTGGCCTGTGCTTCTGGAAGTGCTCGGGGCTCCCACTCAGCACGTGCTTGGGCAGCGTTTCGGGGCTGCTCCCTGGGTGCGGGTGCCTTTGCTGTTCCGGGCTGCCCTTGCACAAGGGTTTGTGGGGCTCAGGGCTAGGTCCTTTGAGCCCTTTGGGATGATCTGGGGCCCCGGAGGCCCTGGATTTCTGTAGATGCTCGGGGCTGGCGCTCCTGTGCTTGGAGTGCTCCGGGCTGCCCTCGCCCCGGGGTTTCTGCAGGTGCTCGGGGCTGCCACCGCTCGCATGGTGCTTGTGGTGGTCCGGGCTGTCAGTGCTGCCCGTGCTGGAGGTGCTGCTGCCGTCGCCCACGTCCCGCACGTAGGGCGCGGTGGAGGCGGTGAGCTGGCACAGGCTGGCCTGGCTGTCGATGGAGCAGCGGCTGCCGGCGCAGCCCGCTCCCTTCTCCTCATCCAGCAGCACGCAGAGCTCCTTAAGCTCCATGTTCTCCTTCACCACCTCCTCCTGCTTCACCTCCAGCTCCTTCAGCTTCTGCAGATATAAGGCCACTTCCTTGTGCATCACCCCCGCCGTGTAGCGGCCCAGTCTCTGCCACTCCCGGGACACCCTCTTGCCTTTCTGCCGGTCATCATCCAAGAAACAGCAGAGGTCCCTCAGTTCCTGGTTGTCCTCCTGGAGTTTCTGGTTGATATCCTGAAAAGAGACATACAACCATTAATGGGAGGTATCCACGTGAGGTGTCCTCAGACTCAGACTTCCTGGGAGCCGGAGGGCCTTGAGCTGGTGAATTCTCTGTGATGTCAGGAGAGGAGATGAGAGGGTGGGAGGAAGCTGAAGGTTTGTAGGTATCTAAAAATTAAAATAATAGGTATTGGTTATGTTCCCTGTACAATACTTTACATACATTATCTCATCTAATTTTCACCAAAACACTTAGGGGATAATAATTATTATGGCTTTTTTGCAGAAGGGGAAACTAAACCTCCCAAACCTTCATTTCTCCAAGGTCATCCACTTAGTATTTGGGGAGCTGCCAATTAATTAACAGGAAACCAGCCAGCAGAAAAATAAGGCTCCCCCACCCCTCCCTCAAGAAAGATGGCTGCTTGTGACCAAAGCTCTGAGGCAACAGGCCTTTCACCAGAGCAAAAAAGTACGGCTTAGTTTTTCAGCTCATGACTCAGGATGAGCAGCCCCAGCCCCCTACTAGGGAAATGCACGATTGCCCTCGAGGGGCATTTCAGTCCTGCACATCCTACCCCCTACTCGTCAGACCCATCTGGACGACTCCTGGACGTCTCACACTTAACACAGGTAACATTGAGCTCTTGATATTCACAGCCCCTCCCCAAAATGCACCTCTCAGCAAATGCCACCCCCACCCATCCCATTGCTCTTTATAAGAGCCTGGGGTTATCCCTGGCATCTCCTTCTCCCTCACCTTCCACTTCTAAGCCAGACAAATCTTTGGAACTCTACCTCCAAAATCTAGCTCATCTTGTCACTCCCTTGTTTAAAACCCTTTAATAGCTTCTCACTGCCCTTAGGATAAAGTGCAAAATCCTTTAAGTCTCACAAGGCCCCAAATGTTCTGACTCAGTCTACTTCTCCAGCATGAATGGTGGTGATTCATTTTTTCACCCACAACTACTTAGTAATCATCTATTTGTGCCAGCTACCAGTCCAGGTGCTGGGGATATATCAGTTGATAGAGCAAAGACCTCAGCATCCTACAGCTTTCACTCTGGTGGGAGAGACTGGCAAAAAAGAAGTAGAGAACATAATGTCATGTAGTGAAAAGTTCTGGAAAGAAAACTAAAGCAAGTTAAAGAATACTACTTTTCCGGAGAAGGCACCTCTGCAGAGAAGGGAAACATCTGTGCAAAGACCTGGGTGAAATGAAGAAGCAAACATGTGAGTGAAGAGGATCCCAGGCAGAGAGGGGCAAGTAGAAAAGCCCCTGAGACAAGCGTGAGAGCAAGTGCTCAAGTGACAGTGAGGCCAGTGAACCTGACACCTGACATGCAGTGAGCAAGTCCACAGTGGTGGAAAGAAGGTGTGAGAGGCGCCAGGGCCTCGGTGGTGTGGGGCTTGGTCAGCCATGGGAAGGACTTGGGGTTGTTGGAGAGATGAGGACAGTAGAGTGACATGATATGATTCACTTTGCAAAGAATCACTATAGTTCTGTGTGGGGCTGCGGAAAAGGAGAGCAGGGAGGGAGATGGGACAAAGTGGAAGCTGGGAGGCCAGCGAGGAGGCTACTGGGCTAGACTGGGTAGAGGGACCTGGTGGTGGCCTGGACACGTGGTAGCAGTGGAAAAGGTGAGAATATCTCCTCTCCATCATGCACTGAGTGCCCCCAACACTGTCTTTGTTTCAGGTCCTCAAGGAGCAGGCCTTTCCCCTCTTTCACTTGGAATGCTTTCCCTCAACCTTCAACACCCAACCAACAACCTCAACCATCAGGTCTCATTTTATAAATCATTCCCCCATAGAAGCCCTTCTAAAGAAGGGCCACCCCCAATCTAAAGAAGGTCCACTTCTGTGCTCTACCATCCCCCCTTAGACGCTTCCTCTGTTGTATTTACGACGATCTGTAACCACATACATATGAGCATTGCCTGTTAGTTCAGGTCTCCAGCCTCACTAGTCATGAGAATGGAGACCTCATCTTTTCTATTCACTTCTGCGTATCCAGAGCACAGCATCCCACTGTCACTACCTGAATCGGAGCAATTTTTAAAAGGCATAGTGAGGTCCCCACTTATTCCCCATTCACAGATAAAGTAAAGGGACCAACTGCTTCTTGAAGCACGGTGGTTTGACAGGAATGAAACAGGAGCAGAAATGGAGCTCCTACCTACGAGTTCCCCAGCTTTACAAAGCCAGAAGACCTCTGCTCCTTTGACTCCATCATCTAATCCAGAACTAGGGGTACTCAAAGACAGAACTTAATTCTCTTAAACTCAGGTTGATTCCAATACTGCCCCGATACTAACTGCAAAAATAAACTATAAAACATCTGCCAACCATGCCCTTCCCTTCCTGACCACCATGAGGCCTAAGATGGGAGTAAGTTTTGAGGCCTGAGGAGGAAGCCTGTCAGTTCTAACTCAGCATTACCAACAATTCTGTTCCCTTGTTTCTAATGCCCACCTCTTTTTTTTGCTTTCTCATTGCCACTTTCTGAACTCAGGCCTGACCTTGGTCTGCCCCATCCTCTACAGATCTTCCCTCACCCACTCCAATCCAAGCACTCCTTGGTCAGACTGATCTTTAAAAACAATTCCTGCATGTTAGGCCCCTCTTGCTTATCAACCCTCATCACCTCCCTTTGCCAGGGAAAATGAATACACCCCTCGGCCAGGCTTGAAAGGCTTTCCCCTGCCTCTCTACCTTGAGCTCCATCTGTCAGCTAATTATGATCCATGAGTGTGTCTGTGCATTCCAACTAAAAAATATCATCTCCTCCCCCATATGAATATACCTAAGAGGAGAGAGTCCTCCAAGAAGTCTCCACCAACACTAGAACAGCACCCGCCAATGAATGAATGAAGTAACTTTCCCACTCACTGCTGAATGCCTGTAACACACACTAGCTAGAGCACTCATTGGGCATCATATTTTCTCCTTTTCCAATGTAGATATCTTAGGTTCTAGAGGGCAGAGTTCATTCCTATGCCTTTTTTTGCATATGTGACATACCTGGCATGGTGCCTTGATTATACTGGACACTAAATGTGCATTTATGGACTGATCAACCCTTTAAAGCCCTAGGCTGGTGGCTAAAACAGACTACAGCTATAGGTACTGAGAACAGGTTTCTTATTATTTTCTGCAAGTCCCTGCTCTGTTGGGAGTCTATAGTAGTAAGAGAATAAATTATCCCGATACTGATGCTTTAGGTGAAATCAGAAGCTGTGGATATTCAGAAAAAATAACACTAAACACAATTAATCTTTCTGAGCTTCAAAAGTTATTCAACATTTAGTTTAATCCTGGCATTTTATAGAAAGCTCAGGTCTATGTTCTTCATCTAAATGATTCCATCTGAAAGACTATCCTACAGTTATTACTGATTTCTTCAGTACTGGAAAGTAAACAGGATGGGTGCTACTGTGGGCTTCATGGGATTAATGCCTTTTCCAAAGGAAGTGAAACATACACTTCTGAGCATACCAGATGGAGCAGACAGGATTGGGTACTGGCCCATTCAAGTTTTCTTTATAACAGTTCTTTCCTCCTATTACTAGTTTTCTTGGGAATAATATCTACTCTCCAGTTGTAAGCTATGTCCTTCACTTTCTGATGTACAGCTAAGCAACCAGCTTGATAATAACCTTGAGAGCCAGCTTCTTCAAATCTGCCACATTAAGACTTGGGCTTTCTTTTTCAAAAACTAAAATTTTAAAAATCCTTTTAACATTACCACAGGCCACCAGATGTTATCCAAGTGTCTAAAGTGGATTTTTAAAACTTGAATCCCACCTCATAGTATACCACCCAAAATTTCAATCCCATGCCTACAAGCTATCAAGTACTATACGTATGGTTACAAAATTGTTTCAATTTGTTCTTTTTCTTCAAATCAGAGTTGGGGGTTGGTGCATTAGGGAGCAAGGAGGGAAATTAATGCAATACAGACAACAAATCTACAGATTCACTTCCCTCAAATCAGCCCCCCACCCAGGAATCTGGGTCAGAGTAACCTGAGTGTTGGTATATGCTCAGCAGTCCAAACACATGGTTCTCAGGAACCCAATTCCTTACAGCATCAGAATCCTAACCAGAATCTCCTTTCCATACCCCTTTCAGAACCACACATTCTAAGCAAAGAATGTCCACTAGCCAAAAGAAAAAAAAATCAGCCTCTTTTGAACATTTATATCTGTGTGACCTCGAGAAAGCTATCTAACCTCATTGGGGTTTCTTCATCTACATATCATTTAATCCTCATAAAACCTCATATGAAATTAAAATCCCCATTGAGCAGAAGAGAAAACTGAGGCTCAGAGAAGTTAACAGTTTGCTCAAGCACCCAAATCGTTAGGATCCAAATCCTATCTTTCCACTGCCCTGCCTCCCAAATGTTTAAACATAAGTCAGCCAGTGCTAGAACCCAACCACCCACCCCTCAAAAAAAAAGAACTGATGCTTCCATCTCCTGTGTCTACAGCTACAGTACCACCTACAGCCTCAAAAATATTTAGATACAATTTCAAAGTCAGCTCACAGAAGGGGGCATAAAAAAGAAAAGTGTTGTGGCCTTACTTACCCTGCATTTACAGTCCTCAACTGAGTGCCAAACCATGAGAACAAAAAACCCTTTCTTCCAGTTAAGCCAAAATGAATAAATGTACCTATCATGTCAACCACATTTATGAATCACTATGGTGTCCAAGGAAGCTCTGAGCCAAAATGATGAAGAGAAGGGAGAAAGTTGGCCCCTCAGTGGACCTTGAAAACCACAGCACCCTCAGGGGTGGGCCAGAGGCCTTGGAGGCTGCTACCCTGCAGCTGCCCAGGGATGACAGAAAAGGAGGAGCAGGAAGCTGCATCTGAATGTAACCAGCCCCCATCATTCCTGAATTTGGTGAGGAGATGAACTGGAAAGTCTTTTGATGCCAAGTCATGAATCTAGATAGACCACAAAGAGACTTTCCTACTTGGGGGTGTAACTATCCTTAACTGGCCTAATAATTACTTCATTAAATAAGGCTACTGGAATGAAGACCAGGACCCCACCACCATACCACCCTCCTCCCCCATTCACATAGACCCTCACACACACAGTCAATCCACACAACCTAAAGAACTTTCAAGTCTTTCTGAGTTACTATGTTGATGCTCCACACTATTTAAATCTGTATGAAACTAATTGATTAAAAATTCTTCCAAGTCACATTATGGTTCAGACCACGGAAGAAGATTAAATTGGAGGGTGACAAACTAATACCATGTCCAGCTTTGCCTAAGAAACCCAGATCCTAGAAACACACAACTATACATTTATATGTCCTTTCCTGAGACAATAACTACCATTTTTTATAATCAAGTCCAGTATTAAAGCTTCTCCTATATTATCATAACTTACTGTCACAACACGCTAGAAAATGGTTATCATTTGCATTTTATTGGTGAATAAAATAAGGATCTGAGAAACTAATTAGCCAAGCTCACCATCCTAGCAAATGAGGATTCTAGATTCAAACCCATCTCTGAGATCATCTTCCCACTAAACTAGCCTGCCTCTGTTCCCCAAAGAGCCTAGTGCTTAATAAATACTCCATTAGTAATGAATTAAGCCAAAGGAGAGAGCAATCCTTGGGATTTTTCTGACTGTGCGATCTTCCTATCTGCACCTCTAGGGACTAGAAGACAGTACGTTTGGGCCGCCAGGGAGGGCCATCTCCACCTGGACTAGGCCCAGCGCACAGGTAAGCCTTGGGCACTCCGCCCCTCCCAGTACAGTCCTCTTTGCCCCCAGAATCCCAGCGCTGAGGCAATTAAGGAACAGCATCTACTGCCTGGGGTGGAAGTAGAGGAATGGGGTGGAAGTAGAAAGGGGACAAGAACAGCCTGTGCCTGTGGGAATTCGCTCCCTGAAGTGCCTGCAGTGATTTCGTTTGTGTCTGGCTTCCTACAAACAAAAGCAGAACAATGAGAGGAAGGAATACCAGGAGGCACCAGCGCAAGCTGTGAGGAGAGGAAGTTTGCGGTGCACAGCGGCAGGGCGGTTCCCGGCCACCGGCCTGCTGCACCCTGGCAGACACACTACTGGCACACTCAGCTCTCCAGGGAGAAAAGAAAGTTAGCGGGGTGTTGGGGGGCCCCCCTTTCCCTAAGAGCAGAGGAAGGGCTGACTCAGAAAGCATCGCTGATCAACACCTGGGGTACCCTTTCGAACCCCTGCACCTTGCATAATGTGTCCCCTCTCTTCAACCTCCCCCCACCCCCAAGCTGGATAAAATTAAAATCAAACTGGGGATGAATTGGGGAGGGGAGTAAGGCAACTCCAGGCGACGCCATCCGAACTCGAGGTGAAGGAAAGCCCAGGAGTTGGTAGAAGACGTGAAGGCAGGACTTAAGCTCCTCTGCACCGAGCGACACAGGCCGGCTCCGAGGGTGGCGCCCGCAGTTCTCCCTGGGCGCCCCGCCAGCCCCTCTCTCTGGCAGTGGCGCCCTTTCCTCGCCCTCTGCCGGCTGAAGAGCTGGTGGCGCCAGAGCAGCCGTATCCCCGACTCCCAAGGGCGAAGATGCCCTGGACTCGCTCCCCTTCGCCCTTGACTGACTGCAACCCGGCTGCCCAAAGCACTGAATTTGCAGGTTCCCTAAGGAATGGAAGGTTCCGCGTGCCCATCTTCTCCCTCCCTGCCTTTCGGCATCCTCGGCGCCCTCTCCTCCCGCCGCAGAGGACCCCGAGAGAGAGCTGGATGCTGGCGCGCCCCGGATGAGGACCGGGAAGGGAGCAACCGCCTCCGAAGTTTGGAGAAGTTTCCAAAGGGCTGGGGAGAGAGAGGAGGCTCACTTGTTGGGGGGAGGGGGAGGGAAAGTGTGCCTGGCCCCACCTCCCCGGGGCGCCCGGCTCCCCGCCCGGCCCCGGCTCACCTTGAGCCCGCGGATCTCGCCGAGGTGCAGCTGCAGTCGGCGGTTCACCTCGCGGATGAGGTTGCTGTGGTCCAGCATCGCGCTCACCTTCTCGGCCTCGGCCCGCCGCAGGCTGCGGATCAGCTCTTCCTTGCTCCACTGCAGCAGCTCCTCGTCCGACACTTTGGACAGGTCCTCCACCGCGGCGGCCGCGGGCGAGCCGGCCGGGGCCGAGGGACAACTTTCCGCCGCCGCTGCCGCGCCTCCGGCCGCCTTCGACATGGTATCCGCGCGGTGGTAGGTGCGAGCGGGTGGAAGAGGCACAGCGACTCCCGAAGGCGCGGGCGCGGCGGAGCCGCCTCCGCCCACACCCCTGTGCGCTCCGGCGAGTCAGCGGCACCGCCCAGGGGCCGCTGGGTTGGGGCGGCGGGGGGCGCGCTGGGCGGGGCCGAGGGACAACTTTCCGCCGCCGCTGCCGCGCCTCCGGCCGCCTTCGACATGGTATCCG